AAAGCACCACCCAGCCGCTCGCTCACTCCCCACCAGTGGGACAGGGGAGAGAATCGGAAGAGTAAAAGTGAGAAAACTCGCAGGTTGAGATAAGACAGTTTAATAGGTAAAGCAAAAGCCGCGCACGCAAGCAAAGCAAACCAAGAGATTCATTCACTGCTTCCCACCAGCAGGCAGGTGTTCAGCCATCTCCAGGAAAGCAGGGCTCCATAACGCGTAATGGTTACTTGGGAAGACAAACGCCATCACTCCGAACGTCCCCCCTTTCTTTCTTCTTCCCCCAGCTTTCTATGCTGAGCATGGCATCATATGGCATGGAATATCCCTTTGGTCAGCTGGGGTCAGCTGTCCCAGCTGTGTCCCCTCCCAGCTTCTTGTTCACCCCCATCCTACTCGCTGGTGGGGTGGGGTGAGAGGCAGAAAAGGCCTGGACCCTGTGTAAGCACTGCTCAGCAATAGTGAAAACATCCCTGCATTAGCAACACTGTTTTCACCACAAATCTGAAACATAGCCCCATACTAGCTGCTATGAAGAAAATTAGTTCTACCCCAGCCAAAACCAGCACAACCATTAAACTTTTTTCCAATTATTTGCTAAACCAACTAGATTATGTTTACTTTAACAACTACATATTATGCACAGTACCATTTCACATTTTAAATTCTCTCCTGTGTCATGGAACAATTGCATTCACTCTTGTTACTATAGCAACAACTGACCTTATTTAAGGTTTGCAATGTCTGGTGGTTTTGCTGAAACAAATATTGTCTTTCTTTGAATTCTAAATTTATCATGCTTATTAAAGCATAAATTTCAAACTTTCATTACATTCTAATTAGCTGCACATTGTTTTGGTTTACACTGATGGGCAACACAGACAAAAATCTGTATGTTTTATAGTGGAAATATTATTAAACATATAGGAGCCGATTCTGATCCCAATGGAGTGAAACCTATGTCAGTTGACCCAATAGTCAGTAGGCATAAATATGTGTATTTGCAAAACTGATTTCCATGAAACGGTGTTATTTGATCCCCAAAGGGTATCCAACACAATAGATTTTATACAGGTTTAAAACCATTGCAAATATAAGAACATTAGTCTTAGAGAATTATTGGAGAAAGAACATTCTAGCTAACTTACCACGCACAAAGAAGGTTCATACTGCAAAATCGGGGGATGGAATTAAAAATGAGAACACTTGCAATATTTCTGCTTAGAATTAAAAAGAGTGTAGATTGCTTCATATCTTCTTTGATTTGGGATGATACTGATTTCATAAAGGAGTTTCAGTTTGCTTATAAGTAGTTCTAGATTATTTCCAAAATATTTTGAAAAATATTCAGAAATTTGGGAATTAATGGAGGTTGGGTTTTGAGAGCTGTTTTTTTGTTTGGGTTTGTATTTTTTTTTTCCCTAGCCTACTGCAAAGTAACTAATTTGACTAATTTTTTTCATCAAACAGTTTAGAAATGTGTGAAATCTTCAGTGTGTTTCCGAGCTGCCAGAAGAAATGAAATGGCTATAGCACTAGGCAGTGGGTTTCTTCTGATATTTAACATCCATAGTTTTGACATAAACAGAATCTTCTCACTTTGCTGTATCACTTACATTTAAATTATGCCTGAGTTCAGTGTCTCAAGTCTCACCTGTAACTTTGCTTTAGCTGCATGGCCAATTAGTAAGCACTATGCATGTTTGCTATGCACAATGCGCATTGTTGCCCCTTGCCCAGCACGAGATCAGAGCATTTGACCTGTCCTTGGTTTTCAAAGCCTATCATCTCCGTCGTGAAGAAACAGATTGGTTTGACAAGCCCAGGGAGTCTCGTTTGGAGAATGGACATGGCCTCGACAGAAGGCTGCCAGAGAAGTTGTCCCACTCTCGACCACCAAGTCAACACCAAGATCAAGTAAGCTGTCAAGTAAGCTGTGCCTTTAGTTTTATAAATGTTTGACAATTTAATCGTACTGTCCGATAGTGTAGGGACTATGCGTTTAATCAAATTCCAGCTACATTCCGCTGAAGTGCTGTTGAATCTATATTTGTCATCAGTACTTGATGATGAAATTAGAGTAACATTCGTCTGCAATTCAGTATTAATTTTGCAGGTTGTCTTTTGATTTTTGAAACATATCTGAAAGGAGTTAATCTGCTAATCAGAACTACCTATGCCTTAGGTATTCCTATTAAAAAAAAAAAAGAAAAAAAAAAGAAAACAGTCCCATTTTACCTTATCAGCTTTATCCCATCCAAATTCAAGCCCCTTCTTTTAGCAGTTTAAGGAAAAGAGTTGCTTTATCCTGTTGGCGCTTACTCCTACTTTTAGTTGGTCGGTATAATCCCAACAGTCTGTGATCAATAAGCAAGACTTTATCAGTCTAATAATTAGAATGTTTCATTATTCTAGCAGGAAAGAAAAATACCATATTCTGCTTTTCAAGCTTGCCGACTTTGAAATCTAGTTAACCTTAGTATACCATCACATATCCTCTTTATATTAAAGAATTTTATATATTTCAAATCTTTAAGGTCTTCATTTGATTGTTTCAGTTATCTTTTTTACTAATTGATTGAGATTATACTCTGTTTTCCATGAGATGCAATGGATGCAAGAGAAGGTATTGCACGGCCCCTTTGTGGTACTTCATAGCTTATATTGCTCGTGTTAATTCCTCAGATAACATACAAACAGGGATAGCCTGCTGTCATGCAGCCTTCGAAACTTTTTTGCTGGTGAGCATTTTCACTGACATTTGACAATAGAAGTAGGTTTTATGAAGTAAGGATGCAGATTTTAAGAAGCAAGCATTCAAATATCTTACAATATAAGCTGTCATTTATTTTTATTTTTCTCTCTTTTCCTATCTCTAGTTTAGCATATATTGAGATTTACACAGCCTAGGTTGTACTGAGCCTACCCATTTCTTGTTGAGAAAGAGGGTTTTACACGATACAAGTCTTATAGGAATCTATTCAAATAACTCACTCTATGAACCAACTTCATTGTGGGATAAAGGATGTTTTATAGTCTTCACAGCTCTTAATATCACTGGAAACAGATAAAAAATCTGCCTATATCTGAGCACTTTAATCCTCATGAGAAACATGCATTGTTCTGAGCATATGTAATTGTATTTGACCCCTACAGCATCATGATGTAAAATTAAAAATTTGCTTTGAAAATCAGGTTTGTCCAAGAAGAGGGTTACTGTTATCCGTGATATCTGTTATCTGCTCTGAGGTACGGAGGTGGTCAGTAGGATGTATTTAACTTTTAGCACTCTAGAGCTTTTGCCCTGGGAAACAGTCGCAAGGCAAGTTACTAGTCACAAAGGTCCGATCTTTGTTTTTTCTCTCATATAAATAGCACTGCACGTCACCGGTCAAAAGACTTTGATCAGAATTTTTTGGGAGGAAGGTTAAGGGTCCTGAGAGTTCTTGTTTTCTTGGATTACTTCCAGAAGGAAAATATTTTTTTTTCTCTCCGAAGCTGTTGTGCTATCCCCATGTTTATATGGAAATAGAGATACCACATTTAAAATCTTGCCAAAAGCTTTTTTTAAGGTTTTGTAAAATATGAGATGGAAATTGGATTGTGAACATGTTCTAAATAATTCTGTGTGATGCCATGTAAAGCCTCTGCAGAAGAAAATTGATGTGGAAGAAGAAGCTTTACAACAGTTCCCTCTTCATCTATTTCCATCCAAGTTGGCTACTGTCATTCACCCACTGGTACAAAATAGTATCGATCTATCTGCAGAAAAGAGAAATGCCAGTTCTCACTAACTCTGCATCATCTACCTCATCAAAATGTCACTCAGAGCTTGTGTATGATGTTAAATATCTTCTGTGAACATTTGTTTGAGAAAACTTTAAAAAAAATTATTTTCAGACCCATCCAGAAATTAAATTACTTGAAGACAAGGTAAAAAGGGTCAGAGCCATTTAAAAAAGTTTCATTACCTCCACATTGAATTCTGAAAGTAAAACACTTAGCAATAGAAGCAAGTAAATCAATATTAACATCTCTGTTTTTTAGCATTTATTTTATATTTTAAAGCTGTTGAGAAAAATAAACAATTTTCAGGCCAATGAGTATGCTGAGGCAAAGTAAACCCTCCCGAAAGGCTTTTTCAGTCCTGTCTCTTCTGTAACAAAGAAGTCACTGAATTCATTGTCCCACGCTGTCTGTCTCCTGTATCCACAACTCGGTTCTGCACAGAGAGCTGTAGTGTCCAAGCATAATGTACTCTGGAGTCAAAAATGGCAAATTCTTCTTCATCCTGACCACCTGAACAGGTCCACCTTCACCCAGGGCTTGCTTTGTGGCAGAGGCTTTCCTGAAATCAGTTAGGATGACAGTTTCCTAGTTAGCATAGTTATTAAGCCATTGCAACCCCTTTAATATCCTGTACTGAGGGCAAACCAGCCACAAAAGGAAATATTTGCATCAGTAGCACTAATCTGCTCGAAATGTATCAGTCAAAGTTTCCAAGTACACTTATCCATGGTAAATTTTCCAGTTGTATTTTCTTCTTTGTAAAAAATGTGAATATTTTACTGACCACTACGATATTTTTATTCCAGAAGATTTTGTTTCACATTAGTGAAACATCAGTTTCTTTACTAGATGAAATCAGAGCTGCTTGATTGCATCCTGCAGAGCTTGTACAATTCAAGGTAATAAATAAAGCACAACCCTGTGCTTTTGAAGCAAGAATGCCGCAGTGACAACCCTGAACTTCCAGGTTTCCATGGTTTTCTGATAACCTAGCAGATTAAGCTCACATACTGTATTATTAATATTAAAATATATTTGTTTCTATAGCAACTTCTGTGGTGCTACATAGTATTCTTAAATCACATTAAATTGCAGTGCAGTTTAGTATTTTAATAGCTGTTTCCCAATATAGTGATTCTGAACTGCTTACCTGCGGAGGGTAAACATGGCTTAAACCTAATCAATACATAATCTATTGCAGATTTCTCACTGATCCCTGTTGACCTCAACAGTTTGCTTAGTCGCTGCCAGTTGACCTGCAACTTCTTTAAATCTCCAGACATCAAGGCTCTTTTTATGATTACTTTCTGTGAAAATTATTTGTATATCCTGAACTAAACTGGCTATTGCAAACAGGTTGGGAAGGAACAGTAGGATGAGGTGTCAGGGGAGTACGAGATCATGACAAGGAGGTGGACAGCGAGAGTACATTAACAGGAGATAAGTGGCTTCTCAGTGAGGGGTTTAAAACACGGAACTTCCAGTGATCATAGGTGGGTCTTTTTAAGCTCTAAACGAATAATAAAATCTCAAGCTCATCATAATATCAGTGTATCATCATCAGTTCACTTTGGCAACACTTTTCTAAGCACAAAAAGAAGGCAAGGGCTCTAGCCATGCAACCTTTTGAAAGTTAATCCCCTATTTCTAAAGGCCTTCAAAAAGTATATGCTTGTCATGGTTCACGGATCTGTACCGTTCCCTTGAAATTCCATTTAGGTCACATGTTTTTAGGGACACTTAAATACTTAAAAATTATTTAAAAATGGGTCATATGGTGAGCAATGGGGTTAAAATGAGAAAATACTGTTAGTGACAAAGATCCAGAAGGCTACCTGCAAACTTTTGTTCCACCTTTAAGTCCATACTGCTTAGTTTTGGTTGTTTTCCAACTAACAAGGAGATTTCATTTTAATTTGTAGGAAACTGCTTTCTCTGTTTGAGGCTGGGGCGGGGGGGCCGCATTATGTGATTCAGATTCTCTGGAAATATGATGAGAAATAGGACATTTCCAGATTTTGTGTAATTGTTAAAATATCAAATCTAATGAGTGAATTGTTAGCCACCCCCCTCACTGTAATTCATGAGGGAATTTAGCAGTTTCTCATTTTTTAGTCACCCAGCAGAATGTTATTCTCACTGCATGCCAGAATGACTTCTAAATCAAAAGTCAGAGTTCTGTACTGAACTAATTGCAGAAGCAAAGACCACTCACTTTGCAATTTATTAATGAGCAGGAACATTGTATTTGTCAAGTTTTTCTTCAATACTCCTTTTGCAAAATATCTCTGTCATCAGGGATCTATGAGTAGAGAGAACTTCCCACCTTTAGGATTTCCAGAGAACTTCACATTCTTGCTCTGCACAGAGATGTAGCGGTTCAAAGGCGCAGGATCACCTTAGCTGTGGAAATCCTGGTGTCAGCTTTCACAGGGCTTGTGCGCTCATGCAAGTACCTGTGGTATTCGAAAATGAGGGTAGGCAGTCTCTAACCCATCACCTTGAGCATCCACCATCCTGTTCCTGGATACCTAACACAGATAAAATTTCCCTTGCAGACTGTATATCCTAAAGGACTAGAGTCAGGCGTAGCTGCTGTGAATCACCTTATCAGGCCCTGTCTAAGATTTTGGTGGAAGAGGAGGTGCAGCACCATTTGAAAACAGAAATTACTGTGGCTCTGTTGATCTTATCCAAAGCCCAGTTAACACCTTGTAGCTGTTGCTATGGACTTTGGCTGGAATACTAAAATACACTTGATGCATTTTAGTTCTTAAACTTAAATAAAAAGTTAAAGAAATTTACTCTTCTTAATTATCCTCTTTATGTTATAGAATTCCCTTATGAGGCTTCCATAGAGTTTCTTTATCAGACAAAAAGTGTAAGAAAAATTAAGTGTATATTTAAACTGATTTTCTGTAACAGTGTTAGAAAACCTCAGCACATTTATTTGCCACTCATTCCGTTTTTTGGAGGGGCTTTGAGCTGACAAATACCATGAAACACATGACCAGAGCTTAAATTCCTGGAGGAAATGCTTTATACTCCAGTTCTCATTTAACTCACTGGGATGCAGCCCACAAGGGCCCGCTGAGTAATGTGCAGAAAAATGTGACCTGAGTCCCCCGTCAGCTCAGAGAGCACAGGAGGAGGGAAGATACACTGGAGAGGCAAAGAGTGTCTCTGATCAGAAGAGGACAGCATTACCAGTGCTGAACTGCAAGAATTATTACTCGAGTACACTGAATGCTCCCAGAAAGGTGAGGAAAGGATCTCCATGGCAAGGACAGATGGCAGGATTCTGTGGGTTTTGTAGCAAATAAGCGGGATCAAGTCACCTTTTGCCCTGTGACCTAAATCTGGGCTTGGGGACTGACACATGCTCCGTCCGTGCAGCCTTGCAGCGGAGGGACTGTCCCTTCTGTGCCGTAGCTCAGATTTACGCTGTTGTGATTGTGTGACTTCAGCGGCGTCCCTCGGTATCTTCACGGGGGTACGTGGGGCAGTAATCAGCTAGAAGGACCCTCTGGCGTATATTCAGGTGAAGGGAAATCACCTTTAGTGAAAGCTAGATGTGAACACTTGGAAACAAAAAATAATTTGTGTTCTACAAGGTTTCAAATATACTAGTAGACTTCAGATAAATATGGGCATTAGTGGTTAAAGTAAAACCATCAAAAATGGTGTAACCGGCCTTTCCATCATCTGTTTAGAGCAACCACTATTCTCCCACTTTCAGACAAATAGTGTTCTGAAGGTAAATGCCTAATGACATGTTCAATTTAAGTACTGATTCCCACCAACAATAAAAAATAATATGCTATCCTGAATGCTAATAAACTTTAATGCTTTTATTCATAAGTATATAAATCACTAAGATTTATACTTATCGTAAAATTCTGGAAGTGCAAGTCATCCATACTTCATTCTGGAAGTAATAAACTAAAGTAGGAGATGGTCTATATTTCCTGATATATTTGTCAGCAAATCATGTACGATATGGCTTTGAATATTCTTGGATTATTATTTATTCAAAAAAGCAATCTTGCTAAAGAAAGATAAGATAGAGCAATTAAAAAAATGGGATTTAAGTTTATGAGCCGCAATGTTCTCCAGTTAAATTGAATTCCTCCCACCAAAATGAATCCCAGGTAAGGATCTTGAAGTATGTTCATACTGCTGCTTTTGAATTGCATTAATTCATATTCTTTTTTATTTAATTAAAAGTAAAATTAGATACATTATTTCAGATTTTTTACAATTTTATGTAAGTTGCAGGTGACAAATACATTATTTGTACTGCTAAATTACAGTTGCTGAATTTCTGATAATGTCATTAAAAACATAGCAATGTCCCTATCCATTTATAAGTGTGTAAGTCTCAGGGCGCTTCATACGCTTCTGGTAGTATTAGACCCTATGTCCTGGCAAAATACCATGATAAATCCTAAAGTTTGCTTGATCTCAAGTTCTATTTTATTCTGGAGCACTTTTCCACTACCAAATCCGTTATCTCCTTTTTTTCTGAGATTAATTACGGTCAGTACTGCTCTCAGTGTGTTACGGAAGGGTTTCAGCCTTCTAGATGCAACGTCATCTACTGGATAAGAAACTGTATTATGACAAAAGAGGTATAAACTCTTCTGCTCACTGTGGGATAGAGCGAAGTGAGTCCCTTGACATCTCTGTTTCCCCTCCTGTCATTTATGTGTGTTATCCATTAACATCATAAACTCTTCAGGGCAGAAACTGGGTTTGAAGTGCTTAGTTCAGGAGAGGCTTAATCCCTTTAAATGCTACTTAAATACAAATAATAGTAATAAATTCTTGGCAGCAGGCTGCTGATACACTCAGACTGCTGCATTATCATGCTGATTAATATTGTCCCATTGGCTCCTTGAATCTGCCTCTGCCATGTCCCATCCCATTGACACTCAGCCTGGAGCAGTCACAAGCAGCCACATGCTCTCCTCTCGGTCCGGGTGCAGTGCTCAGGCTCAGCACCAACGTGGCAGGGAGGTGATGGATTCTGCTTTGCTTCCAAAAGACCAAAACTGCAGGCAAAGAGGGCGTGTGATAGGTGTGAGATGTGTAAGTGTTGCAACAC